ATATATATATTGTAGGCGCTTGACTCGCACTACCTTAGTAGAAGTAGACACGCACGCACACCCCCCACACACACATGCTTGTGTACCACCGAATGATGCACATGTTTAAACAATTTTAGGTATCCTCTCAGAACAACACACGCGCCCTATATCTCGCACGGAGGCATGCAGAGTTTTGTATCATTTTATGAAACTTATGTATCGGCCCACCATTCCACTGGGCACGCACCCGTTTTAATATGCATGAGAAACGCACGCGTGAGAAGCCAGGTGAAGTATATAGTGTAGTCGTTGCTGTAGTGATGGTCGACGCCGTCTCTACCTGCATCGCCCCTTTCTAGTTTCCTCGCGCACATGGAACAATATCGGCAACATTTCTATAGGCACTCGTCTATCCGTCCGTCATACTTTCATTCTATTATTTCCTCGTCGCCGTGTTTCATCTGATTTTACATCAGCAATTCGTTCGGGACCGCACAGCACGCCGGACAGCCTGACCTCAATCGGTTCAGAATCCCACATCCCACGTCACGATCGCTCTGCGCATGCGCGTCCACGCCGCTAGCTTAACTCCATCAGCGCTGTCGGCGAAGTCCGATGCATGAGTAGCCGCCGCAACGCGCGCATGCGCAGTGGAGTACGATCGCGATGACCTGATATTTTTCATCAGGAATGCGCAAAATTGCTACGAGTATCACTGTTGTGCCAGTATGTCAACATTCATCTATATATCTGTATGGTATGGTATCTATATATGCGTATGTATGCGAGTAGATAGCGGTTGATTTATGTGCTAATACGCGTCACCTGCCACGCTATCTGTTCACTTTGTTAACGATTGAGTGTCACGCGATGCTTATGTGCGTTGAATAACGCCGATGCTGGATATTATTGTGCTGGTGCATCAGCGTTATTTCTATTGTTACCGAGTCATAATCTCTTTCTCCGGTCTCTCTCTCTCTCTCTCTCTCTCTCTCTCGCTCGCTATCGGTCTGACTGTCTGTCTGTCTGTCTGTCTCTCTCTCTCCGTTTCCCTGGCAAGAATTCCTCTGTTTTTTAAAATATTATTTTAACGCTACAAAATTAAAGACAATCGGTGTAAGAAGAAGACGTATAGGGACATGAGGAGGAGGAGGAGGAGGAGGAGGAGGAGGGAAGCGCAAGGTGATACGGTACAAAGGGCTGATGTAAAACGGAGCATTCACATTCCTTATTCCCACCAAACCCGCAGACACCATCAGCAGCAGGAATACAGAGAGAGGTGGATGCGGTGGGGAAAAAATGAGAGAGTGAGAAAGAGAACACGCGCGGCATTCAGGAGGGCAGGCATTACAAGGGCGTGGTACCGTCGTACGTAGTGTTCGGGTCGGTACGCACTTGTATACACCTGCGTACACAGCATGCCGATACACGCGTATACACGCACAAACACACTCCTGCCCGGGGCGGTAACATTCCGCGGGGAACAATCACGGTCCGGCGCTCTCAAAGCCGCAAAAATTGCGTCCCCGCCTGCTATTAGCGAAGTTGACATAAGGGAGAAGGAGTCGGGAGAGGAAAAGTGAAATTGGATAAATTTCCAATTGATGGTGGGGATTATGAGAGGGGAGAAGAGGGCAGAACGAGGATTCGAATCAACATTTATTAGCATCCGTTTCACCTTTGTAGAATTTATATATAACTGATAAATTATAACGGATAAATAATAAAGAGAATAATAAGAATTGTTATTTACGAGGCCGTGCTCAGGCTCATGCGCACGCCCGCACGCACATAGAGGGCGATAGAAAGAAGGCGGGATCGACAGAACGAGAAAGGGATAACAAAAGACACACAGAAAAGTGGAAAGAGAAGCAGGACCGCTAGAGATGGAGCAAGCGAGAAGGGAGCAGCGGAGATAGGAAGAGAGTAAACGAGAGAGAAGCGAGAGAGAAAGAGCGCGCAGGAGGTAGAAGAAGTGAGAGAAATACAGAGGAGAGAGAGAGGGACAGACAGAGAGAGAGACACACGCGCAATGAAATGAGTGCATGGCGTGTGTAGCAGCATGCAAACAACAAACAATCCCAATCGCAAATCATCACGTAGAGGTTTCCCGTCGAACCCGATTCCTGCGAGTCAGTCACGAGAGCGCGTTCAGCTAGAGCGGCACGGCTATCAATGCCACACACACACACACGCGCGGCGACGGCAGCGGTAACCACATCATTCCGCACATGACGCGCCCATCGTCTGCTAGCGACAACGACCACACAACGCGTCGCCGAAACGCGCGCTCAACGTCCGCACGGAATCCGGACACGGTGACGGTTCGATCTCGATCCGGGTCCGATGACGATCCGACCTCGGTCCGGATAATAGTCCGGTTTCTCGCGGACGATGATGTGAAAATATGTCGATGGTGCAATCGACTCTTCCGGCCTCCTATCGATCTAACTACGTCGATGCATCTGCTAACATCTAATACACGACTCGCGCATTGTGTGTAACTCATCGAAAGCAAACAGCGTGCATCACACGCGTGACCTACGTTTAAAAGCATCTTTAAATATCACCCAACCTACTCATTGACGGGACCTACCCGGATATCTAGCCGTCTACTTGCCACATAAATCAGACGATAATCCTAACGGACATGTAATCTAGTTTCAGCGTACTTTCACTCGCCATACGCACGTGAGGCGCGCGCCAACGCTTCTGTACGCGGAAGATACCACGCACTATACCTGATCCTACCTGACACCCATCATCACCGCTCCTGCTCTGCCCGCGCTCTCTGCATCCACCACGCATGCGCAGCAGACTATACACGACGTTGATTGCTAACCGTGTATAATTGGCCGTCAATGCAGCTGGTGCTGCCGCCGCAGACGCCAATTTTCTGCGCAATTTAGCCGAAAGCGGATTCCATTAGTCGACACCGTATGGCTTCGCGATTCCCCGGCGGGAAGGTCGCCGGCAACTCGCTACGAAACGATGCTCATCATTGCTCTCAGCATCCCGCCGCCGTCTGCCGTTCCGCATCCCCGTGAGTCGGGTAGCTCGCTACATCTGCAGCTTCACTGTTGAATGATTGATGCGCGGATGTCGCTTGCTGATCGCCGAGAATTCAGATCCGCCGCAAAAGGTTCGTCGGAATTGCTGGAGACAGATTGACTGTTTTGTCGTCGAGTTTGAGTCTCGCACTGCACGCCTGGCGCTGCCGACTTCTTTTCTGGGTGTAACCACGAGAATCTGCTACATCCACTCACGCACCCGCGCGCACGCACACACAGACCACACACACACACACACACACACACACACACACACACACACACACACACACACACACACACAAAATCCCAATAACGAAACGAATAGCAAACACTAAACCGAAACCTGCACCCCCTCCACCCCACACCTCTACCATCCCCACGCGTCCACGTATTCTATCAGCTAGCGTCGATAACGTCGCTATTCGCTTGCACCTGATTGTCACGCAACTCACGCGCACGCTCGCGCTCTGTGAGTGCGGCAGCGCACACGAACAACAACAACAACCCACCTCGCTGGTGTCTCTTCACTTTGAGATAAATCCGCCGGATCGCCGCGTTCCTCGTGCTATCGTTCCCGCACACACAAATGCTCGCATCATCGGCAGCGATACGCTATTTATGAGATCAAGAGCGGGCAGGCACCGTAGCGTAACCCGCACGAGAGAGACGAGGCAGAACGCGCCGCGCGCCGAGAGGGAGAGGGAGAGGGAGAGAAGGAGAGGGCGAATCATAGCGAAACATGTACGTAACTATGATGGCGAGACGAAGGTCGTTTACTCGTCGCCCGCCCACTCTACCCTGCTCGTCGTAGCGCGACGGGCGGAGCTCGTGTAACGGCAGCACGCGAGCGGGGCGGAGCGTGACGAGGTTCCGATTGTGATGGTCCGGCATTCCACAGATGTAGCGCAGCGAGCAAAATCTTACCTATGCGTGCAATAGGGGAGGGGGAGGGGTGAAAAAAGGCGAGAGAGAGCGAGAGAGAGAGAGAGAGAGAGAGAGAGAGAGAGAGAGAGAGAGAGAGAGAGAGAGAGAGAGAGAGAGAGAGAGAGAGAGAGAGAGAGAGAGAGAGAGAGAGAGAGAGAGAGAGAGAGAGAGAGAGAGAGAG